TGCTAATACCCTTGGGAAAGGTATGAATCCTCTTCCTCTCCCTCTCCCTCCAGCTATGGGTAAAATAGCAGGACAGACTGGGTTCTATAGTCTTGGATGGCAACTTGTCTAGGAGAAGGACAACTCTGAATTCAAAACCTGCGGAGGGTCGTTTGGGAACCTTGTGGCACTCGGTGCACCAGGTCTCTGTATTCGTCCCTTTAAAAAGTGTGGATGGGCCTGCACGAAGCCCTCACCACTATAATCAAATCTCATGTGCTGTTGTCGGGTTGTCGGTTTCCTGGAAACTGATCTGCTTGACCCTCATACGTCGAATCTTGATGGGAGAGTTGACTATATATATATATATATATATATACATATATATATATATATATATATATATAGTAAAGGTCAGGTAAAGGTTAAAATGTTGGCATAAAAACAAATTTAAATTTCCATAATATTTCTATAATATAGGTTTAACTTAATTAGCTACTATATTTCCATAATATTCACTCCCCCTCTAAGTCTTCAAATGTCAAAAGTATAACTAATTCTAATTTTTATATTTAATTTCTCCTCCCTATAACCTCTTTACACAATATTATTTATAATTTATAAACTTCCTCTTCCTCTAAGATCTGCCCAACTCTCTTTCCATTAATTCCTTGCATCCTTTTATCTATATATTTTTAATTTATTTTTAGACACCTTTTTATTCCTTTTTTAATTTGAAATTAATATTTCATTCTTCATGTAACCCCAAATTAATGTCATAAGTTTAATATTTGGGTTTAATTTTATAAAACTTCTTCCTTTTAAGGTAAATACCTTCCACCTTCCCCTGACCCATCTCATGCCTTTCGTCTGACTGAAATATTGAAATGGATAAATTCTGTATTAGTTTTTCAAATGTTTTTTTTTCATAGTTAAATTTCTATTTCTGGCATGAACTCAGTCCACACTGGGGTTGATAAGACAGATGACCAATAATAGGCTATTCCTCATATGAGGTGATTTTGGATTTTATTGTTTATATATATATATATGTGTGTGTGTGTATGTGTGTGTATGCATGTGTGTGTGTGTAGACGCAAAAGTAGGTATCAATCAGTTATGTGCCATGCGTGATACATGCTTAGGTGATCATATATCTTTCAATACATGACTGACAAAGCAGATTTTTTCCCACGGAAGGTTGCCATTTCTTTCTGCATTAGACCAATTGCCATCCAAGGGTATCAAACCTGGTCTGTCCTGCTATTTACCCATAGCTGGGGGGGGGAGAAGAAGAGGATTCATACCTTTCCCAAGGGTATTAGCAACTAAGTGAATGTAATGGATTTGACCGGAATTTGAACTCGGCTCTCCGATTCCTCAATCCAAGCTGCTATCCCCTACTCCACCATGCCTCCCCTAAGTATAGAATAATGAAAAACAAAATGTATGCACAAAAATGTATTATATTGATTATACGAACATATCAATTCCTGAAATGTTCAAACTGTTTACCCCGTCATTCATGCACTCATCTTTTTCTGAAAAACTATTATTATTTATTATTTAAAAAAACATAATAATGATAATAAATGTAATAATAAAAATGATTTAATGAATTAAATGAATCTTAGAATCTCTATTATAATACTGCTATAATACCTACTGTACTTTTGCAAACTCCTGTATATATATCTTGTGGCAACAACATATTGAAACATCAGTTTCTGTATGATTCCCAAAGTTAAGCAATGGCCAACCTGGTCCATACCTAGATGGGTTGTGAATACCAGTAACTGGAAATGCAGATATGCAAGTGGTATAATGGATAATGACTCAGAATTGTTAATTGGGGTAATTTAATTAAACTATTAAAATTTGTTTTTTTAAGTGTTGATGTGATATTGTGGGGATCTGTCTACCCAGGTTTTATGCTGTGTCAGGATTTTATAATCCAAACATTTAACAACAGCAACAACAAAACATCTTTTAAATGAAATATATGGAAGGTTATTCTCTGAAAGAAAAGAAGCAGAACATCAGATGAAATAACATTTATAGATTCTCTTCAGAAATATTCAATAACAATAAAATGTTCAATTTTCCTTGCAATGAAGTTTGTTTTATCAAGTAATTAATTGTTTGTAGGTCCGTGTGAAATGTGTAAACAGACTTAATTTGTGTGTTCATGAGTTCATAGTCAAAGGTTTAATCAGTGGCTGCTGGTTAATCCTTCCTATTGTGCATGTGGACAAGGCCTTAGTTGGGGGCTGCCAGCTGTAGTCTCTTTCATTATGTGCATGTGTGTGTGTGTGTACACATGTGTAGACTAAACTGGCCTCCAAAATTGTTTTAAGCCCCAAGAATCAGTAGGCTTCTATTTTTATATCCGTAGGCTTGTCGCAGCTGCCTTTGGCCGCTTCCTAAAGTGGAAGAGAACAGGGCGTTTCAACCTTGACCTTTCAATCGTGTTCCCTATATGCTGTTAATTTCATTTTAGAGATGAGCTAATTACCCTTTAGTTTGTTGGTATTACAAACCTAGTTGTATTACAAATCTTAGCATTTTTAGACCTTAGTTTTTGCATAGCAAATCTCAGCTCATTTTTTAGAGTGATTTTTTAGCACTTTAGCGAGACCATTTCTGTTGTTAGTCTCACTTAGCATAACAGAGCGACTTCTTGCTGAATTCCTGGTTGGTGTCTGAACAGTCGGTACACAGGCTCCTGGCCTTTTATGGCCAGGATGCCAACCAGGGCTGTGTATTAATTTACGCACCCATTTTTTTTGTCTGCCAACTGGGCGCGAGTTGAATCTACCTTTCTTTCTCTCTTTACTTCGCCTCTTTACTTCTGGCTCCTTGCCCATGTTTGACTCTCAGCTTTCAGTCCCTACTGGCTTCCTGCACGTCGTCTGTAACCTTTCCCGTACACTATGGATATGATTATTATGGGAGGTTTCAATATCGGACTCGACCAGCAGACACACAACACCAGCACCGGATATTCGATATGCCCAACGCCAGCTCCTCGTTACTTCCCAACTCGTCCAGTTAGAAACCAGACCAGCCAACCAGCAGTGATCACCTGCAACGACCAACAGCGATCATCTGCGACGACCAACCAACCTTTCCTGTATACTATCAGTTGTAATTATTATGGGAGGTTTCGACACCGACCTCAACGGGCAATGCCTGCACTGCAATGTCCAACCGTTGACACGATCGGAATGTCTGCACCTTGACTCCAACTGTTGACACGACCGGAACGTCTGCACATCTACTCCAACCGTCGACACGACTGGAACATCTGCATCTCAACTCCAACTGACGACACGACCAATCCAACCTTCAACACGACCAGTCCGACCACCATTACCATGATTGGCAGACCAATATCCCCCACTGTCTCTTCTTTATATAATAAACTTAGCATTAATCATATACATCCTCATTCTGTTGTCCATTTTGTTTCACCTCGTCATATCTCACGTCTTAATATGAAACACCTTAGCGGGTCTCTTGTACCCTCATCACCTTACAATATGGGGGCACTTGGACCGTGGTTTCATATCGCCCCCCCTTTCAGGGGGTCCGCTACAGGCTTCTATTTTTATATCCATTAATTTCATAGAGGTGTGAGCTTTTTGAATACAAGGTTTTCTTTAGTTGGAAAATAATTTTACACTGGCTTGCAAAATTCTTTTTCTTGAATTTGTAGGAGTGATGAAGGGAGTTAGTATTATTTTCTAAATGATCCAAAAATAAAACGTATTAGGTCTACAACTATGTCCGCTTAGTATTTTATCCGTATTTGCCCTAATTATCGTTTATTAAACAACCATTCAATTGGGATTTTATTGGTTAAATATATGATTTAATTAATGTCATAAAATAAATTAGTGAACTTAGAAAAATTAAAATAACAATAACGTGGGATTCATTTTTTCATAGAAAAGCTCATAATGATGATGATAATGAATTCTATTCTTTGAACTTTTTTGTCATGCAGTCCATTTTGAAGCTAATCAATCATTATTGATATATCGAAAAGGTTGGGGAAAAAAAGAAACAAACTTTAACACGTCTTTGTCCACGTTGCACGAGTGCGTAAAAAAAAAATGATGGAATTTAAAAAAATTCTTTTATTACATCATTGAAACTTTAAAAAAAATGAAAAAAAATCCAGCTTTTTTTCTTACTGGTGTTTATGTTCCCCCTCCCCACCATTCCAAAATATTTACAAATAACGTGTTGTGTATTTACCAAAAAAAAAAAAAAAATTAATTAATTTAAAAAAATAAAATTAAGTCTATTTCTTCTACCAGGTGAGACTTTATTTTATTTATTTTATTTTTTTTTATTCATGTTTAGTTTCACTACCTAAATCCAAAGTCCTGTAGCCATTCGAGGTAGGATTGTTACTGGAATGAAGTTGTTCTATAGAAACGGTCAGAGAAAAAGATAAGAAGTGCAGTTTGTGAGGATATAAGAATGTACAGCAAAAAATTAGAATAAAGAAAAAGAAAGAAGAAAAAAATTAAACCACTGGAAGATATCCAAATCCTAAAAAAAAATAAAAATAAAAATTTTTTAAGAAATTCCAAAACAAGTAAACGACCAGCAAGAACTGCAGCAGTGAAATATAATCGTGTTTTTTCCCAAGTGACAGTCGGAGGAGAAAATCATAGGTGGTGGCAGGGCGTTGAAGAAAAGAAGTTGGTAACGACGACGTGGGTTCAAAGAGAAAAATCAGCAAGTGTTGTAAAGGCCGTCGTGGTTTTACCACCAGTGGCACCAGATACGGCTGGGGAGGAGCTGAAAAATTAAAAGGAAAGCCGTAAAAAAAAATCAACTTTTTTTTTTCGTTATGTCTGCAGTGAAAGCCGATCAACGGCCTTGAAAGAAAGACATGTAACCATCCAACACACGTGCTTTCAATCACTAACCCCGGCCGTTTCTTGTTGTATTTTGGGTCTTTTATAAATATTATTTAAGAGAGAAATACACATTAAACACCGAACATGGGGCTAATCATTTCCAAATTCAGGGTAAGTGGTTTTTAGTTCGAATCACTCAACTTTGTTTGTTTATTTTCTCTTTTAAAATTAAAAACAAACCCTACTTTCTTAAAGTTTTTTTCCCTATTTTTTTTTTTTTTAAATGCGTGTGACTTAAACTTAATTTTGATTAATATTGAGCAATATATCATTTAAATATTCTTATTCCTACAGGAAAATTAACCATTTATAAATATTGCCGATAAAAACTTATTTTGTGTTCTTTAAACTTTTCAACACGAAAAACAAACCGATTTACTTTCTGTCTCAATAAAGTTCAATAACGCAATGAAGGTTTAACTTTATTCTTCATAATTTTTTATTCTGTTCGTTTATTTAATTATTAATGAGTGATTAACCATATAAAATGTTTTGTATATTTATTATTATCTGAAATTTTATTTATTATTATCTGAAAAAGGTTGCGCTTTGATATGCTTAGCTTAATTCTTAGTTTTGAAAGCGAAATGTGACATTGTCAAAGTGTTCAGCTGCTCGTTACCCATGTACATATCAGTTTGACAAACATCTGTTTAATAATACATTTTTCTTTTGAATAGATTTTTAATTCACTTTACTGTTTAATGATTAATTTGTGCCCTCTCATAGTATACTCAAAGAATATTTAACTTTTTATTTAATTTGTGCTATTAAATTTCGATTTTGACACCCGTCTTTTTGTGTGTTTTGAAAACAGAAAACTGGCTACGGATGGCTAGAAGTGCAATAAAAGTTTCGAATTTATTTTTTAATTAAAAATAATAATCTAACCGTTAACGCATAAGTGAACTTTTGTACAATTTGTTTAAAAGTCTTGTTGACAAGCTTCCAATGCAACCTAATATCACATGAGGAAAGGAATTTGCCCATCTCTAGTAGTCTTTTTGTGTGTGTACAGTGTACTGTATTTATTAGTATCTCAGATGAACGTTCGTTAAGTACATTGTACTTACGACTATTACTTGTGTACTATTGTAGTATTTTTTAATTTTCTACTGGTAGATTATTTTATCAGCTGATTTTTCCAGCTTCATTGGGTTACCGTTAACCACCCTGATCTATAGATCGTGATATGACTGTATTTATTATTAATTAATTTCCCTGTCTAAATAATTAACAAATCTTTGTGGTCCTCACATATGAGTCACATTGATAGAAATACTAAAAAAGGGTCATCTTTCGTGTTCTTCCACCTTTAGATTCGTTGGTTTTCGAGAATAAAAAAAGAAAACCCAGTCAGTTGCTAATAATAAAACAACTTGTTGTAAAATGATAGGAAGATAAAAATATAGCTGGCTTTTACTTCAGTAGAAAAGTGTTTGTCTTCAATAATAATAAAACATTTTTTACTTCGCTAAAAGAAACAAATAATCTATTATTTTAAAATTAATTTGAAATAGTTAACAATAAAATGTTTAATAATTAATAAACAAAGACACACACAAACTGCTGACATGTCATTTAAATGACGTTTTTGACTTTAAATGTCTTTCTTCACAGTTGACCGACAATCAGTTTTCAATCATGGAACAGATTTTTTAAGAGTCAATCTCTTAAAATATCTGTTTCATAAAATATTAAAAACGTATTTTTTTTTTTCAAACTTTGACATTTATAGCTATGTTGGTTTAATTTTTACTTTCTACTGTAAGAAACCTTTCACTGATTTTATTTATTGTCTTACCAAAATTCCAAAGGGTTTTCTTTTCTCAAATTAAAAACAAAATGTTTAGTTTTAAAATTTAATGTCTTTTTTTAATTCTTTTCCTTAAGAATCCCAGCTCATTCAGTTTTTTTCACTTGTAGGAAAGAAATTCTTTCTGTATGGAACTTTTAAAAAGTACTTTTTAAAAAAATATGCCCCCAAGAATAAAGTGTAAACAATGACACACAATTTATTTTAATTTATATTTATATATATATATATATATATATATATTATTTTTTTTTTTTTTTTTTACTGAATTTTTTTTTTTTTTTAAATAGAAGCTGAAAAAAAAGAAAAGCAGAAAAAATTGTAAATAAATTTAAAAAGTTATGAATTTATTCCAGTGACAGTTCATAAATCATTCAATCACCTTTTTGTTTACAATTTTAAAAAAATCATTTTATTTTTTAAAACTTATTTTTTTTTACATAGGAAGCAACTAATTCTATGTCTTCTAATGAAAATATAACTGCATAGTTTTCAGGTTAACGCAAAAAAACTGCTACGTCACCACATACCACCTCTTGCGATTTAACTTTTTCAAGTACTAGAGAGCAGATTGATTCTGGCTTTTCAAGAAGTTAACTTATTATTGGAATCTCCTTTTGAAATTTTCATACAGTTAAAAAATTTTTTTTTTTCCAGTATCACTCCCATGCAAGGCAGTGATGCCATTAAGACACAAAGAAGGGGTTACACTACACTACAGGGTGTGTTATTGTTTGTAACTTAAATTTCCTTATCAATTGTTAGATAGAGGGTAAGTTTAGCTGTTTTGAGATGAGTCCTCAAGAATTATTCATTGTTGCTTTTTCTACTGCACTTGATCCAGGATATGTTCCCTCAAGTGAGTCTGGCAGATACAAAAAGGATGAGATTACTTAGTTAAGGGTACTAACCACAAAAAGTGATTTTTGACAGATGAGGCCAGAGTGCCTGGAAAGAGCAGAAAACTAAAAGCCAGAGGAAAAAATGTCTCAAGGCTAGTAAATATGATATATATACTTGAAGGTAAGAGTGTGCACGATTAACTTTTAATAATGATAAAGATTTAATGCTATGAATGAATTGAAAGCAAGCAGCTAAACCTAATTTTTCTGTATTTTATACGTTTTTGTTTTTTAATCATTTCACCCAAGCAAGGCAATAATGCCTCTAAGATGCAATGGGTTACTGGGATTAAAAGAGAATAAGATGACTTTAGTGAGGAGAAAGGACAAGAAAAGAACAGGGTTCAAGAAGACAAATAATGGTGATTTTTCTAAACTTAGCTTAGATATGGCCCAAGGCTGAAAGTATGGAGCACCCAGTGAGGATTGAACTCCCTAAACTGCTATAAATCTTCTAGTGTTAGCAAACCTGCTACCATTACACCATGCCGAGGTGCATTTAAAATGGAAAAGAAACTTGTAGTAACACAGAGCATGGCTTACCTAGTATGAAGTGTGTTTGAGTTGCTGCAGCTGTAGCAGGATATCTGGTTAGAGTTCTACGGATGTGCATGTTCAACAACCGTCATTTTATGAAATGGACATCACACCTATGCAAATGTTTTAATATCTGCCGCTTACTATATAAGTGGCTACATTGCTTGCTGATGGGGAGAGGGAACTCTGGAGACAACGCTTGTGGTGTGTAGTACAGTTGAGAAAGCAGTAAAGAAGACATAAGCAGAAAACATTTCTCAAGCCATTTTGGCATCTGAGGTAGGTGGGAGTTTTGGTCTGAGGCTGATTCCCCTATTTGACAGTACTGGATCAGTGGTTGAACGGATGTAAAAGGCAGAAATTGTCTGCAGGCTGCAATGTGAAGAGGGTAGAACATGTCATTCCCTTTAGACTAATTGAGGGGGGTGCATTTGCTGTCTACCAGCAATTGAGAGACGAGAAAGTGGATGCAGACAAAATAAAGGCTGCCTTATATGTGATCTTTGCTACATGACAAATCCCTCAGTTTATCTGGCAGAGCTACAAAAACTTGCAGTGTTGTTTGGAGTGGTGAACAACTGTACAGTCGGGTATGTGTTTGTGGCTGGACTACCAGCCCAGGTCAAACAACTCCTCTGCACATCATTGATAATAGACATGCTGTCCATTGACCAGATGCTAATGTGTGCCTGGGTGATCCTAAATGACGACACGGACTAAGTCTTGACATCCTCGTTGGTCCTTGTAATGGATCGAACCACCTAACACGGGACTGCTTCAGCCATCAAATAGCTACCATATCAAAGGAAGGCAGCAGGGTGCAGGAGGGGGGTCTGCATTGAGAGAAGAGTTGTTTTTGGTGCCACTCTATGGGCCACCTAGCACATACCTGTCCCAGGAAACAAGACAGGGAAACAACAATAGTGTCTCTTCTCTGGAGCAGATCAAATTTGGCATTACCGGTAATTGTGGTCCAATTTGACAGGAAGCCATACTTGTTGACTCTGGTTGCTCCTGGTCATTAACCAGCAAAGAAGTGCCGATCATGGACGAGAACGTGTGTGTGAGAGAAGACCATCAATGGATAGTTTAAAGCCAGTTGGGTTGGGGTCATCAACATGAGCCTGAATGGTGGCAATCCCTTCAAGGTTGACGTCCTGGCGACTAACAAGAGGCCTACTGATTAGGATGAACACAATAAGAGATGGGAGGGGTAAAAATCACTCCCTCAAGCGCAGTAGAGTTCTATTGCAGTAAACCACTCCTATGTGCAGCGATAACTATTGATGAACAGGACTTCAGTGGCAAAGGTTTGGACCGCAACATGGAAGTGGACAGGAGGTTAAGCCCTAACAGTTCTGTATAACACTATAGCAGAATATTCCATATCCAACTTAGTGTAATGAAAGTACAAGCATGAGCTGCAAGTCTGGTTGGATAACAGCTGGCTGCTTGCTGACAATGTTGCAGCATTCTGCGGAAACACATTCAGAAAATTCACAGAAGGCTGGGGTGTCTGCCTTTGCTTTCGATGTGCTCACAGTAGAAAATGCCTTAGGACCATGAACTGCATTGCTGCCAGAAAGAAGTGTTCTGTGGTGGAAGCAGTGTATCTACAGTATAATGCCAAAAGTTGATATATAACCCTCCACAACCCTAGCAAATGGAATCTAAAAAGGAATAGATGTTGCATCTCCACAAGCATACGTGGAGATTGTAACTTACAAAATTAGAGATGCAGTGTGGGTGAAGGCCCCACGCACCATTTGCATGTCCAAATTTGGAAAGTAGGTGGACATCACAGTCTAAGCTCAGTTCTGGTCAATGGGATGCTGCAACATATTAGGGACCATCAC